TTTCTTGGTCCAATTAGTTTTTTGCTTTATTTAACTTTCATCAATTTTTTGTAAATCGGGTAGGCCTCCGCTGAGTTTTCTAAAAGACACTGATGCACTTAATTGCTAATTCCAACAACTGATGAGGAAGGTTGAATTATACATAGGAAAATAGTACGATTCCTAGAAGAAAAACAAGCCTGCATGTTTATCAGAATCTACGGGCATGCCTGACAATTGTTACCGGGTTGTCTTTATAGGTGAACGTGGCTTGATACAAGCTATGATGTATAAGTCCCACATTGGAGAATACAACAATAATATACAGTTTAAATATAGGTGGTTCACTTCTAAATACATTGAGGCCTTTTGTGATAAAAGCTCACACCTAGAGGTCCATTGGACCTTCTCTCTCCGAGGTAGTTAAGGTACCAACAATATCGGTGCATGGGTTGGACAGATATAGGACTCCTGTGGAGTCTGTTGGTACAACAGTCATTTTACAAAGACACTTGCAACTGGATAAGCGTAGACGAGCAAGGTCAGTACGTAGATACTACCATAGTTATAACTTAAGACCCTACATGATTTGGAGCACGTAAAGTAATGTCTTGGCTCAGCATCACCAAGTTTCAATTTGAGATTTGTCGGTAAAAGCACTCTCATTACTTAACTAGGAAGAAATTTATATGGCCCTACAGTAAAAGACTTACAGTGATAACACTATTTTGCATAATGATATATTGACTCATCAAATACTGCATGTTGCTTCTTTTATATCAGATCAAATCAAATACAGCAAATTTAGTCATAGCTTAGTGGGTTTTGTAATATTTTTTTCCTTCACGACCATGGTTGACAACTCAACCATAGAGATCTAACAACAGTACAGGTTACAGCCCAAAATGGCAAACCATGCCAAAAGCCCAGAAATAATAAATGACACCAGACAAGACAAGAACCCAAACAACTAAAACAATGAAAATAAAGAACCAAAACCAAAGTTAAGTACTCTGAGACCAATATGCAAAGTGTAAGGCAGAGTTCTTGTTTACCAACAACAAATGCATCATCTTGATCGTTCTTGCTTCGGCTCCCAATGATGAAGGTATTGATCATAGCAGAGGCACAAACAAAAGAAGCCACCAAAACATGCAAATCCTGCGGTAAGTAAGAAAATCACAAGTCATAAGACTCTTGATATCCACTAAATCAGATGACTTGAAGCTTCGTAACTTTTTTCATTTTACCTTTTAATTTCAGAATGGTACCTCAATGTCAGTTTGCTTTCAATTTTCATTTCAACTTTTTTCAATTACCTTTTAGTTCTTTTAAACTTAAAAAGAAAAAGAAAAACAATTCAACCACATGCCATGCACGCATGGCTAGCCTATTTTTTTTTTGTGTGTTTGTTATTTCTGAAGAGAGAATTTTCATCATGGCTCCTATATTCAAAGTCTGTTGTTCAGTAGTGATATTCTCATTCATGGCTCCAAGCTTGGTAAATTCAGGATTGCTTGCCACCGATAACGGGGACATCACATGTAAATCATCAGTAATTATGAACCTGGCTGATTCTATTACAAAGATTCCCCCACCTTGCTCAGCAGAGGATGAAACTGACAGTGTGAACTTCTGATTCTTGCATCTTCCACATTGGCAAAGAACACCTTTGTAATGACTTATTGACTTATTTTCGAAGATGCATTGCCAACTATCACACACAAAGTACCCTGTCGGCTCATCATTGTCAATTTTCAGTTTGAGCTTTTTGCAATGAGATTCAGCCCCATTGTGGGGATATATCAACATCTCTTTACATGAATGTTTACGGGCACGCCTGACAATTGTTCCCATTGGTATTGTCAAGAAACTCAAGAGAACATCAATAAAATCGTTATCAGACTCTACGAAGATAATTGTGTTGCTCCTCTTGTCCACAAGGCCTTCAAGCTTATAACATTCTTCACAGCCATTGATACTGTAAGAAAGTACAAATTTGGCTTTTTTATCCTTTCCTTGTACAAACTCAGTTGTTTCCCTGCTTAAACATGAAAGGACTTCAACAAATCAACTACGGCGAAAGAGAGAGAAAATTTTACAGCATGAAATTAAAGTAAAATTAATTTTTGTACGCATGGTGCATGGTTTCACCACATTAACTAGTAGGAAAAGAAAAATAGGCAGCATTGACGTATTGATCTACAGGTTCTGCTGTGCAGGAAATGAAAGGTCCTCCCCCATGTTCAATTTTAAAGGAGGCTCTGGTTTTTCTTTTTTTCTTTATACAAAAGTGGTGGGCGAAAGACCGTATGCATCATTCAAACCGGCCATTAAGGGGAGGGGCCAAGGAGTTAGACGGCGCCTGGGAGTCCGCCTAGGCGGTGGTGGGCGAAACACCGTATGCATCATTCAAACCGGCCATTAGGGGGAGGAGCCAAGGAGTTAGGCGGCCCCTGGGAGCCCGCCTAGGCGGTCTAGGCGGCCCAGGCGGGTCTAGGCGGGTCTGGAGGGGTTTTGCCGTTGAGGAGCAGACGAAGGTCGGTTGAAGGGCGCAGGAGCCGCTGCTTGTTAGGAAGAAAGAAGGAGAGACAGAGATGAAATCGAAATAGAGAGAGGAAGGAGAAGGCGACGCTTGGGAAGAAGCCGATATCTGACCTAATTTTTAATATAACTAACGGGTTGGGTTTTGTAAAATGGCCTTCAACAACATTATATTAAAAACACAAAGAAAGAAAAAAAGAATATGATGTCTAGAAACAGTAATGGCACAAAGAGTAAACCATTAAATCCCATATCAATGTTTTTGCATATAATTATTCCAAACAGCTCAACATCATAAGTACATTTAGAAAAAAAGGAAAAAGACATGGAATTCGAAGTTCAAACCTTTTCGGGTAAAACTGCCGAAGTAACATATGAAGCTAATGAAAACACAAAGACTTAAACAAAGGGCCTGCAGAAAGTAATATAAGTAGGAAAGGATCATAAGGCTGGAGAGATATTATAGCGAGGATCACTTGAGTGGTGGTGCACGTTATGACCCTCCATCCTTTGCTTTTGAAAAGGGAAGTATTCATTACTTGACTAGGAAGAAATCTCCAGCTTCACCGTAAACTGAAGAGAACATCAACAAAATCTGATATAAAAATAATAATTTGCAGTACGTATTTGATCTGATATAAACAAGCAACGTGCAGTATTTGATCTGTGTATGGTTCTGCCATGATCTGACTTTGCTAATGAAGAGATTGATCGCGTTCCCAATAGCTGGGTCATCAAGGCGGGACCTAATCTTAATAATCCAAGTTCCCATGCGTGCGTGGCATGTAGTTGAATTGTTTTTCTTTTTCTTTTTAAGTTTAGGAGAACTAAAAGGTAATTGAAAAAAGTTAAAATAAAAATTGAAAGCAAACTGACATATATTTTTTTTTTTTTGGTGAAAAAACTGACATATTTTTGAGATAAGAATAAAATGATAGTTGATTAAATAATGTTATCAACCGCAAAGGCCCAAATACGAATTGTATTATTCTATTTGGGTTCCCAAATCCAGAGTCTCTGGTACTCGGGTCAGCTCTTTGATCCCGTCGTGAAAACACCAAGACTCAAAAAAGAAAGGGTAAAGCAAAGTTCACTTGAGTGAAGCAGGACATTTCAGCTTTCAACTAAATCTAAGCATTCGACGTACGATGCAAAACTAGGAAGAAATCACTAGTCAGTCCTACTGTGATTTCAAGGAGATTATTGAAAAGCTAGAGCATTTGGGGCATTATTACTTAGCTTTAAAAGCTAGAGCATTAAGCTAGAGCATTATTGAAAAGCTAAAGCCAGTCATACTGTGACGTCATCTCCAATCATAGGGCTAAATATAATTAATGGCTAAAAATTTAACCCTCCAAAATATTAATTTTTTAAAGAATAGTGCATGGCTAAATTTTTTCATCTCCAGCCATGCATAACTATATTTTAGGGCATTTCATATTTTATTATTTTGAGAAAAACTACGGTACAACACTCATATATTCCACAACTATGTATTATTTAATTTAATTAAACTACGATTTAGAGACATTATTTTTTAATATGTATATTTTAAACAAAATGAATTTAAAACATTTAAAAAGGTTTTAAATAAATAAATAAATAAATAATAACTTTTCAATCAATGGTTCTAACCTACAACGAACATAAACCAATTATATATATATATATATATATATTTATTAAAAACAAAATGAATTTAAAAAATTTAAAAAGGTTATTAAAAATAAAATAAAAACCTAACGGCTAGCTGACATCATCGATGACGTCAACATGCCTTTAATATTGGCTGTTGGATCTGCTATTGCATGAGATGTTTCGTGCTCTTGCTCACGCGTGATACTTTCTCTTCTTGGAAAGCACATGCGTCTGGCTCACAAAAATATTTGGCCTGGGCCAAAACTAGGCTACATTTGGCCTAGTTGGAGGGCTAAACCAAATTTTTTTTTAATCCATGGCTGGAGATGGGTTTGGCATTAATTTAGGGCTATATTTAGCCCATGGCCCACAACTAGAGATGACCTGACCTACATAGTGCAGTTAATGAGGTGTTGAAAGAAAAAGAAAAAAATATCAAGGGCAAGAGCTTTGAGTTGAGTGCATGATCCCCACCATGACCTTTTTCTTCATGGCTGGGGTGGTAGAGAAACTCTCATGCAACGGGGATAATACTTTTTGTTATTCTCGGCCATAACACAATGGCACATGTGATAACTTTTCCACAGGTCATGATGTTATTGGACGAAAATAGCAAAATTGTGACATCCCCGTTACATGTAAGTTTTTTTCTTGGAGTGGAGAGGGCCTTGAGATCTTATCTGCATCTCATCTGATCTCCAAAAATAATCTAATATATTATAATAGAAGGGGTCAGAAGATTGAATAGCCTCGAGCTATTGTTATATAAGATTAACAATGACTATAACAAAATTTAACCAAACATAAGCAAGGCCAACCTCTTATGTATAACCAATCCCTCATTGTTCTTGCTTTGGCTTGCCAAGATCCCCAACGAAGGTATTGGTCAGAGCAGACTCACAAAGAAAAGAAGCCAACAAAAGACGCAAAACCTGAAACAATTAACAAATTCAGGATAATAAAAATTTGAAGAACATATAACTCATCTGGATAGGCATCCACTAAAGTCTAAAAAGGACTTTAGTGTTACAGACAAATAATATGAAATTCTCAGGGGGGACATGAAACATTCTAGTAGACAAAAATTTCAGCAGCAATTTGGGAACATGCAAATTCAAAACCAATGATTAATTTACGACTGTCAATTGTCAAAGAACCGAGGATTCGTTTTCTGCATTTAACCAAAAAATTATAAATAATAACTCACCTCCTTCTTGCCCACATGCACAATTTGATCCTCAATATCGGTGACATGCACATTCAAGTCTGTAAGAACTTGCAGCTCAAAGATCCGAGACATCGGTCTTACAACCAGATTGTCAGTTACTACAAACATCGCAGGTCTCTTCAGAAATCCTTGAGCATTTAAATCCATGGAACAGAAACCGACCACTTTGAGTTTATCTGATTCCGATGAACAAAGGGATCTATCAGTAGTCAAGGTACGACCTACATAGTAATATGAGGTCTCCTCAATTCCTAAAAGACTGTTATAATAGCAAAAACCAGGAACAAGTTTGGGATCAAGAAGCATTTCCTTGTGGTGATCTGAAATCATGTATTGCCCGTCCAAATCCTGGATAGTTTGGTACAAGTGCCTGATGCAACCTTTCAAGGAACTATTCTTCATGTTTTTTACTATAAATCCAAGAGGTAGAGTTAGGAAACTGAAGAGCAAATTAACAAAATCCTCCCCTGCTTCTGCGTAACAGACTATCTTCTTAGATTTGCTGACCACAAGATTCAAACAAATCTTATCTTCTTCATCATTCATTGAGTCTCCAGACATGTGCGATTCAATATGTATTGCTTGATCAAAAATTGTACTGCTCCATTTAGGATCTTGTTTAGGCTTCAACAGGGTTTCAGTCAAAGGTGTTTTTGACACTAAGGAGCACATGAGCAAATTCAAAATCTGGAAAAGATAAACAGATCAGAAACAACGATTACAGTTTTAAACAGAACTAATAAGGCGCCATAGCCATCAATTACCTCAACAGTTCCAATATTGATAGTCAACTCCTC